CCCGCCCATAGAAATGCCCGAGATGTGTGACCATCTCCATGGATCGGCATTTTTCTCCTTTGGTTCAAGAGAGTGATGAAGCGCGGGATAAGCTCTAAATCGGGCTTTGATTAAAGGGTCAATCGCTAGTAATAGCGTCGGAGGAGACCTACTTTCAGGGAATTGATGTGGCCCAAACGCAGTATTACATCGCACAATAATGGCTGGCATGCGAGACGACTTTCGATATGCCTGGACGATCATCTCGGCCGCGGCCTTGCTGGCTGAGTATGGGCTTGTGGGGTGTAGGCTTTGCTCCTCGGTGAAGGCCAAAGGGCGTCGAGTATCGTTCTCGCCGTATACCTCATCGGTGGACACGTGGATAAATCGTTTGATCGAGCTTAGCTTTCGAGAAATCTCTAGCAGCACCTGGGTGCCTATGACATTGGTTTGTGTAAAAGACAGAGGGTCGTTGAGTGATGTGTCGACATGGAACCTAGCAGCGAAATGGATAATAGAATCAATATGGTAGTTGTGGAGCACATTTTCTACATCCTTTGGAGCGCAGATATCTCCTTTGACAAAATGAAAAGTCGCCGCGCAATAGTCGAGACTATCGAAGCAGGTCACAGCATAACGGTCACCGTAGGCCCGCATCAGATGGCGAATGAACCAGCCGCCACTGGACAATGGAATGGCATGTCAGTAAAACTCTGAAGCTACCAATTCCTCAGTGAAGGTGATTGTTGATCTCACATGAAGCCGGCACCCCCAGTCACCATGATATTCTTCACCACCGGCGCACCGTTGAGTTGTGTATGCTCCGAACGCATCATGCCATCCGCAGGTGGATCACAATCACTATGCATACTGTCGTGCTGAAGCTCCGATCAGCTATATAATGCGTATACAAGATATTCAGGTGAATTCCACTCTTTATCTAAACAACACGCGGCTTGCCTCTTGGCAATAAGCTTGGTGTCTATCCACATCATCACCCCTGAACGTTCTCTCAGACCTTGAGTTAGTTCAAGGGGAGCTTATACTCGCTCCATGCAATAACACTGTCATGTAAACAAGCGGTCCATCGGTTGAATCAAGTGTCTGTATATCCTAGGTTGCGCAGTAGATATCTAAATCTGTATCACTCATTGTACAAGATATCTGGATATCTAGATCTTGCTGCTGTATCACCTATGGGGCTACGTTGGCTCTAGTGCGTTTTCTGACATGCATCGGTGCTTGTAACTCATTGGCCGCGACATTTAGGGACAACCTTAGTTCGAGAGTCTTATTTACTTCCAGACAGGCTGTACACTGCCAAAACCCAGCCGGTCTACTGGGAATCAAGGTTCACGTAGTATCACGTAAGATTTGTGCGGCATGTTCATCTAAGTTTGAGTGCGCCATGTTTCTCGCGTGTTAGTGTACGAGGACGTGTGCGACCACGACTACCCAACCGGAGGATATTGAATTAATAAATTCGCTTGTTGTCCAGCTTTATATTCCACTTTATTTCGGCCTCCGTGGGGGTAGCACAATGTCTTGATTGCGATGCATACCAGCCATGCCGGAATTAGACATACGAAACCCTAACTGCGGTCCATTGGGGGTACATACGATTTGCACTCGATCTCGTCGGGCACTTGCCCCGTCAGCCTTGTCACAAACTCATCATCTACATCCTTCAGAATAACATGTATATGCTCAAATGTACGCACACTCTGCCACTTTACCCTGTTCTTGAACCATTCGATGTTGTTCCCTGCATACTTTCATTGGCTCGTGTGCATTGTACATGTTCTCTCAATAAAATCCGCAATTAGCCGCCGGGACTCTGTAGTAGGATCACCTTGCGCATCTACAGGTATAGGCGTCTTTAACCATACGACGAGATGAACCATGCCCGGCGCTATGGCGTACGGCCAGTCGTTGCGTCGAATGCGATAATCAGAGTGATTAGAGAAGGGAACTGAATGGCGATAAGGGAAACGGATCTGGTCATTGTTGGCAGCCTCTTCCCAGTGCAGCCGCTTCCTCACGAGGAAGTTTGTTACAGAGCCGAAAGTGGCCTGGATCTCTCGGTCCAGAAGGTGTGATTGCGGAGATTAGTCGGGGTACGCTTCAGCTGGGATGTATCGCCACAGGCTGACAGTGTTAACGACATCCAAGCTTCATACCATATTCTAGAGAGTCTCCCTCGCCAATAATATTTTGAAAGTCTTCCCAAGTATGCGGGATAAAGTCTTCCTCAGTGGTGGCGAGGACCTCCTTGTCTGCGTGACTGAGCTCAAACGGCGCATTACGCATCAGCTCCTTTGTGTCCATGATCCTGGGCATTTTAGAACGTTCACGATGAGAAGGAACCAGATAGTGCCATGATTCATGGGCCTCTATATAACGTTTCCTAGACTTTGCGGTGACAAAGGCTGGTTATCTTGCTGACTATATAATTCTGTGCCAAAATATAACTAGCACATACGACC